GGTGAATCATTAAAAGATAGAACAAACTGGCGTGAGCTGGTTGAGAGCCTATGCCCCATTAGGGGTTAGAAAGGCAGAGGAATCATTAAAACTATTCATGAAGAGAGAAACTGAGTTATGATATATTTGATAGACAGGTTGTTATGTCACAAGTCTTGCAGATTTGCAAGCAATATAATTAATTACCAGAAGAACTAATCTAAGAACGTACACCTAGATATGCTACAACTCTTTTGATTGAATTAGGTACCTCTCGAAAGCCAAAAGTCAATGTTTGGTTATTCAATGCTCTTAAAACATTTTCTGAGAAATGGATCACACGCTTAAAAAGCCCAGGCACAGGGACATTTAGTACACTTGTTTTATGATTAGTAATATTTTGCAAGTTTTCTGCGGGGAAAAAAAGATAGCCAGGCTAACCAGGAAGAATAAGACATAGCCTAACCAGGAAGAATAAGACATATAGCCTAAAAATTAAGAATAAGACAGATAGCCTAACCAGGAAGAATAAGACAGATAGCCTAAAAAGGAAGAATAAGACAGATAGCCTAACCAGGAAGAATAAGACAGATAGCCTAACCAGGAAGTATAAGACAGATAGCCTAACCAGGAAGTATAAGACAGATAGCCTAACCAGGAAGTATAAGACAGATAGCCTAACCAGGAAGTATAAGACAGATAGCCTAACCAGGAAGTATAAGACAGATAGCCTAACCAGGAAGTATAAGACTGACAGCCTAATCAGGAAGAATAAGACAGTCCAGTGGGGGGGGGGGGGGGGGGGGGGGGGGGGGGGGGGGGGGGAGAGACAGCTGGGCTAACCAGGGAAAATAAGACGAGAAATTGGGTGTGCCAACTAAAATATCTTAGCTATGCTGTAACCATGCACAATACAATTACGTCCTCTGAAGACAAGAAGAAGATAGCCAGTCTCACGCTAACTCTATTTAGTTGCCTCTTACGACAGGTATAGTAAGTTTCAGTGTCTCTAGTTTAGGCACTGACAATGCACTGCACAATTCAGCTGCAGGTGAACAGGCAGCAGATCACTTTGTGTTAATTTCGACAAAGGTATAGAGTGCTGACTATACAAAGTAATGGCAAACTTAAGGTTAGTTGCGTATCCTTTACAGGACGTTGCAGAATCAACCCCAACAGCCCCTGGCTGTTGGGTGGTTTTTCTAGGCAAATTTACATCCAATAGTTTGAATGGCAAACTACTGAACCAATAAAAATTTGTTGAACAGTCCAAAAAAATGCTGTGGTTCCTTCTCTCAACAAGCTGTAAATATATGGAACAGACATTTTAGAAATGCTAATCTTATGAAGCGGCTGGCCAAGCCGTTACGTCAGGTTCTCAGGCACGAGACACCGGGTTCGACCACCGGTAAGGTGATGAAATTTTTCTGTCGGGGGCAAAACTATAACTATCCTAACTTGTACAGTCCGTGGCAACAGCACTAGCCTACGCGGCCTTAAATAATCAGGCTCAAGACCACCTGTCTACACGCCCTAAAAGTGGTAAAACCGACAGTAGTGACAGTTGATCTGATCTAGCTGGCCAGGTTCTCAGTTACGACCCTGTTTCTAGGATGACTGTGGAGAGGTGAAGACAGGTGTCCCACTTATGTTGTGTGGTCAGCCATCCAGGCAATTTGTCTTCTCTCGGTTGTTTCCATCAAGCCTTTCAGCAGTCACTAAGTTATCAAGTTTATTCTCCATACAACATGAGTAAACAATATGCAATTTATGAAAGGTCAAAAGGGTATAGGATTTGGGGTAAAGGCTGATCAAAAACAGCAGTCAAATGTGCTGATTACACAAAAGCTGGAGGTAACAAAGAAAAAACAATACAATATGTGGTGAGCAGAAATAAAGAGATACAAGCTTTGATATTATGATTACATGGTGAAGTAAGAAGTGAGAGGCATGAAATAGATTCAAACACACTGAAATATACCAGGAATAATACAAAATGCATCGTATTAATTGATTATAAATAAATAAATACATACATAAATATATCCTCAGTCTACTACCTCCAACAGCAGGTATCAGTTTGTGTGCTGACATCCCTCCATCTTCTTCTTCTTCTTCTTCTTCAGCATTCCGAGCTCTTGAGGTTCATTGCTTCAGATATCACCCGCCTCCATTCATCTCTCTGATTGGCCTTCTCTTTCCAGTTGGTGACACCAAGTGTTTGCAGGTTTGTCTCTCCATCGTCTTTTTGGTTTGCCTCGTGGTCCACGACCATTCATCTCCCTTGTGTATACAGTTTTTACTTCTCTGTCATCTGACATTCTTTCAATATGCGCCAACCATTTCGGTCTATTAGCTCTCATGATACCAGTGATCAGTGGTGATTTAAACATATTATGAATTTGGTTGTTCCTTCCCACTCTCCGTTCACCGCTGTTTGCATCTTTGATGGGTCCAAAGATTCGTCATAAGACTCTGTTTTCGAAAACCTGTAATAAGGCTTCATCTCTTTTAGTTGTGCTCCAAGTTTCAGAGCCATATAAAACGACTGGTCTTATCAACATTTTATAGATTTTGATCTTGGTGTTGCGAGACAGACACTTTGACTTTAGCTGACATCCCTCTATGCCACGACAGAAGGCTGTCTAGAATCATCTGGTATTGCCTTCCCCCCTTCCTTTCCACACATCTTTCCAGTGGTCACAACATGTGCCAGTCTCCCTCTTCTCATAACATAACCAAAAAATCTTGACTGTCTCCTTCTGATGTTTGTGATGAGTCTTCCTTATGCCCTAAACCTCTTTATCAAAACATCTTTTTGGCTGTCTAAGGAATCTGAAGCAGTCACCTGTAAAACACCATTTCTGAGGCCTCAAGAAATTGTTTGGCTTGTTTACTTATTGTCCAGTACCGGTACCATCAGTACTGGAACTCTGCGCTGGCTGCTGAATATGAGGACATGGGCACGCATGGGAATGCCCTGAGTGCTGTGATGTCAACTCTCAACTCAACTCAACCTCTTGTCCAGTCTAAAATTGCCATGTATTCACTGCATAAGATATTCTTAATTTTACAAAAAATGCCATTAATTCCTGCCCTATTATAGACTTTATCTCTTTGATACATCTTCCTGGTGATGTTATCCATGTGCCCAGATATTTAAACTTCTGTATGTGTCCCAATATAACTTCACTGATTTTTATTATCATCATCATCATCATCAGGTGCCTTGCCGACTGGCATGGGCAATCATGCCTCTCCACAATCTGCAATCTCTTGCAGCGACTTTTATTATACAGTTAGTTGTACATCCATTTTGGCAACGTTGTTTTTTTTGGGAACAATATGTGCTTCACGCAACTGTGAAAGATCTGTCGCGAACTTGCATCCTTTTCAAAACATTCATGACGTCTGTCACTGCTGTCTTCAACACATATCTGTTACTGTAAGCTGCCTGAATTCTTCAATGACTATCCACTGGTCGATATTTTTCAAATGAAAGAAACTCAATCACTGCTCTCTGAGCTTCTCTGGACGGATTTTGGATAGACCTGGCCATTTTCTTAAGGTCAGAAACGGAACCTGTCCATGACTGGACAATAATCACATGCTCTTCTAGTCAGAGGTCACTACTTATCACATGACTATGACATAATCACATTCAACACAAGCAATTACATGGAGTGCAGCACAGGGTTTCAGATTAATGCTCATCATATTTCTGGTCAGCATCTGTGACTTAGGAACTGCAAACGCACTTCGTGCTGCCGGGTTCGATCCTAGCTTTGGAGGTTTTGTTATGCATTGGTTTAAATAGTGGTACAGAGAGCTGACCATTTAGAAAGCAATGGCAAACTACTGAATGTAAAATTTGCCTAGAAAAACCACAACAGCTGAAAAATGCTGGGGTTGGTTCTGCAACATCCTGTAAAGGATACACAACTAACTTTTTTTTTTTTAATGTATTTCTGACCAGTAACTTATAACAAACAATTTATCTGATGTGTATTTAAAGTCATGCTATATATTTCTGATCAAAACCATACACAAATGTCAATGTTACAACTTACCTTTCCTGGACTGAAGTCGGCAAAATTTGCAAAAGCATCTGATGAACTATTTCCTGTATTATTTTTGGTTACTGGGCTACTAAACGGGTCACTTGCTCCAAACGGATCAGCATCAAATGCACTCAAAGGCTTGACCTTGAGTTTTGGTGAAGCTGCCGTGGATCCAAATGGAAGAGGACTTTTTGATTTGGGTGGAGCAGGTCGAGGTGGTGGAGCTTTCTTGTTTTTAGCCGCGGCGCTGGCTTTGGCTGATGAGATGAAGGGATCGATACCTGAGCTGGAAGGAGCCTGGAAGTATATCACAAAAGTGGATTCAAGAAATGTGATGTTATTCTACTATACTACAAACTGACATGGGTAATGTAAGCAAGCCAGCCAGCCAGCAAGCCAGCCAGCCAGCCAGCCAGCCACCCCCCCACACCCACACACACACACAAACACACATGAAAGAAAGAAAGAAAGAAAGAAAGAAAGAAAGAAAGAAGAAAGAAAGAAAGAAAGAAAGAAAGAAAGAAAGAAGAAAGAAAGAAAGAAAGAAAGAAAGAAAGAAAGAAAGAAAGAAAGAAAGAAAGAAAGAAAGAAAGAAAGAAAAGAAAGAAAGATGAAAGAAAGAAAGAAAGAAGGAAGGAAGGAAGGAAGGAAGGAAGGAAGGAAGGAAAGAAAGAAAGAAAGAAAGAAAGAAAGAAAGAAAGAAAGAAAGAAAGAAAGAAAGAAAGAAAGAAAGAAAGAAAGAAAGAAAGAAAGAAAGAAAGAAAGAAAGAAAGAAAGAAAGAAAGAAAGAAAGAAAGAAAGAAAGAAAGAAAGAAAGAAAGAAAGAAGGAAAAAGAAAAAAGTGAGAGGATATTATTATCACTGTTGCTATTATACTTGTTCCTTCTTCTTCCTAGCATTCACCGGCTGTAAACTCCAGGGTAAAGTTCTGATTGTCCACTTCTTTAGTCTTGTTCCAAAACTTTAAATTTTTAGTGTACTTTTATTTGACAGATCTGGCTCACTTGTATGCAGACTGTTGGTTTCTCCTCTCTCGTGCAGAGAGAGGCAGATGCACTTTGACTTTGAAAGAAAACACCCCTAAGTAGCATCAATTTACGACATGCTTGTGGGGGGGAGGGGGGGTAACAAGATCTGTTATTTTTCCCACAATGAGGAACCAGAACCCCTACAATGGTGTTGTTATTACTACATTACCACAAAGAAAGGTGAAGAGATCAGAGGAATGTCTGGGAAACAAAATGTATCGACGCTTATAAGACACAGAATATAATGTTATTTTCAGCATATCATGAAGAAAAGCAGAGAATCAAAAAGCAAGGAAATAAGAAACAAATGGACTGAGAAAAAGATGACATCCAAGAGACCCCCCCCAAAAAAAAAACAGAAGGTCGAAGGTGTTGGTCTGAAATCCGTCCATGATATTAAAAGTACTGCACAACTGAATGAAGATATACCATAAACATCTTACAACAAGTCTCTTATCGAACTTTAGTCTTATCCTGAGGTTTGAGATTTTGAACAACGGATCAACATCATGGCACACGGGTAGTTACCCATAAGTGCTACGTTCTTTTTCTCACTCAAGACTGAGTCCGAAGAAGCTCAGAACAGTGCACAGGCCCTGTAGCACCGGCGAGGATCCTGAAATACTTTGGGTGGATTTTTAAACTCCAAATTGTGCCCGTCCAGCGCCGTTGGGCTACTCTTTTCGATTTCCAACTGCCAAGTGATTTTTTACATGCACAAACAATGCACACGGGCGTCCGATCTCACTATCCAGAGACAAGTGGGAATTACTAGAAGTCTAGGTCCACGTGAAAAAAAACCAGCCCTTACCGGGGATTGAACCCGGAACCTCTAGCACTGAAGGCGGACACCATGCCATGAGACTTTATCATGGAAAGACCTCATGTCGATTGCTCTGCCACAAGTACTTTCATGTCTACATGTCTCTAATGTCAAAAGACCGGCTTTGTGCTGAAAACCTATCAGCAGCCATCACTCAGAAAGTATTTATGAAAAAATATTGAAGTTTCTTGAACACAATACACATGACTCACATGACTAGACTTGTTGGTAGCACTGCTGGAATCCCAGTCCAACCCAAAGGCATCAAAACCACCGCTTGGTTTCTCTTTTGAAGCTGGTGTATTACCAATAAAGGGGTCATTGCTAAAGCTAAAAGTATCTTGATTCTGAAAGCAGGAAATATAAACTGTTACATGTGATCAATCAGAGATAAAGGAGGAGGATGAGGAAAAGAAGAAAGGGAGAAAAGGAAATATAAAAAGTCATATGTGATCTCCCTGTGTGGGTTCCGGGGCCCCATTGTGGGGGGAAATAAGAAAAGACCCACTGTCTCCCCAACAAGCATGTCCAAGGAGTCGACTAACTGGGGACTTCCATTGAAGTCTGAGTACATCTGCCCATATGGCAAGGAACAACCAACAATAAAGTCAGTAAAACAGATTTATACGCAAGACTCAAACCCTGGCACACAGCCAAAGTCCAAATGGATGAACAATCAAATCAGGACTTTCCGCCGGAGCTTAAAGCCGGTGAATAAAGAAGAAGGAGAAACCATGTGATCAATCAGAGACAGAGAAGGAGGAGAAGAAGAAGAGAAGACGTAAAACTGTATTCTTGTATGATTATAACTGACTTATACCAGCAGAATCTACTGATACTATAAAATATTTTGGCCACACTGAAAGAGATAACATGCTGTTTAAAACCAAATGGAAGGAAAAGTCAATGCAAGTGAGCAGGAGGTAGGGATTAGTTCAAATAGCAAGACCACATCAAGTGATAGACGAACACCATCTCAGAGAGTGTACAATGATCACAAGACACAAAGATGTTGGAGGTCAAAGGTAACTGAAATTCCTCTACTCCATTGCACAAAGTCAGGCCAGTATTGTAGCAACCAAGCTTTGCCCATGCAGCATGATCTAATTTCTGGGCTGTCTTGTTTACTCTAATACAAAGGTAACACCAATGTGGTCTGAACAAGCAGGCTGCAGAAGCCGCTGAATCAGAAGAGCAGTGCTGTCGGTCCGCCTGTCACAGCTTCCCTCACAGATCGGAACTCCCAACTAAGACTACTATCTGCAATGCCATAACATTAGGCTTTCATGCTGCATCTCCTCTTTCTAGGATAAGCAAAACAGTGTGATAACTGGTTGTTTTTGGGTGTGGAAAAGCAAATCAGAATATACTGGTCATGTGCCCGGCCAACTGGTGCAGGCGTTCATGCGTCTCCACAGATCACAATCCCTGGTTGCCTGGAACAGCTCTCTTGATGATTTCACTCCATGCCATCATTTCAGCCCATCCAGCATCATCTATCTTGGTCTGCCTCTACCCCTTTTTCCACTAACCTTTCTAGTTGTCATGATGTTCTCCAATGTCTCTCTTCTCATTATGTGGCCAAAGAACAGTGTTTGTCTCTTTCTTATGGTTGTATATAGAGATCTACTTTCATTAACTTCTTTCAAGCAATCGTTGTTAGTTAGTCTGGCCGTCCAAGGTATTGGTAACATTTGTCTCAGAAACCACATCTCTGTTGCATCACGATTCAGCAAAGCGCATTAGGACTGACTGAACAGACACCTCAGATGGCCATGTTTTCCACTGCACGTTTTAGGTCCCAATGTTTAGAAGGATGGTCAGGTAAAGACTAAACACAGACTTGCCAGATGTTAAGTTACCTTAACTACAGCAGAACTTCCACCAAAGGCATCTTTGAATGGATCCTCAGCGCCAAATGGATCAGAAGACTTGAAAGGGTCACCTGTCAAATGGAAAAAGGCACATAATAATTGGAAATTTGAAAAGAAAAATCAATGAAAGTTAGAATTTAAAAAATATGTATGTAAATGTATGTAAAAATAAATTAAATTAAGAAACAGCAAGTCAAAGAAACAGTGAGTCAAAGAAACAGCGAATCAAAAAAACAGTTAGTCAAAGAAACAGGGAGTCAAAGAAACAGCGAGTCAAAGAAACAGTAGAAACAGGGAGTCAGAGAAACAGAGACAGAGAGTAAAGGTGAGATATAAGAAATATGTGTCACATTTATTAATCAATGCTGAAGGAAGATACTATGCTAAATGAAACAGGTCGCTTGAATTTGGAATTAAATTGGAAACAGCAAGCAAGGATGTATGAGAGGAACTGTACGACATGTGTACAGTACAACCAGTGTGCTACTAGAATAGTCAGGATCAGGGCTATTCAACTCGCGGCCCGCAGGCCAGGATGTATGAGAGGAACTGTACGACATGTGTACAGTACAACCAGTGTGCTACTAGAATAGTCAGCATCAGGGCTATTCAACTCGCGGCCCGCAGGCCAAATCTGGCCCACCAAGGCCTAGGAAGTGGCCCGCGGATCACTACTAGTTGTATTGCATTTATAGTATTTCTGTGCTGGGGCTGGGGCTTCTGGCACATGATGATCCCTATTTTTGAGCATTTTGGCCCCTGTGTCAACTTAGTTGAACAACGTTTGCTGCTGAAGTTGGGGTATCTATGGTTATGCCCGGTGTGCTTTCACATCGATTCTCACATCAGTAATCAGTAGTGTGCATACGTGTCGATACAGGTAGTTAACACAATGCATCAACACAGATGGGAAGAAGCATGGATAGAGCAGACATCATCAATGCCATAAGGAACAGAATAGTGGATAATGACGAATCTCTAGCACTAACACGATTGCATGACATGGCAGTGTAAAGCATGGTAAAGCTCATCTATGCCACCTTCAAGGCCGAGATAGGAGACACTATAACCAGCTCCTGACTTGACTTTCTACCCCACCAGGACATCACACAAGCGATAAACACCCGATGACACAAAATGCCACCATGTGGATGAGGATCACCGTGGAGAGGTCCCAGAAACCGCGTTCAGACAATTGGCCATATTTATGGCCTGCCTATATTGCGGCCCCTGGCAAAAGCCAGGGTGGGGCTTCAAATAACAAAACATTTCATCCTAAAAAGGACGAAACTGGATCTAACTATAAGCCCAGCTCCTCATGGGAACAATTAGTAGAGGTAACTTGGAGTGGCTAATGCAATACAGACAGAAATTTATTCTGTGAACTGTGACTAAAAAGCTTAACAAAATGGGGAAGCAAAACAATGTGCACAAAATGCATGAATCAAAGTTTCGGCCTGGGCCTTCTCAACATGAACTAATTACACAAGAATAACAAAGGGGAGAGTACCTATCACCAACAACCATGAGGGGGTCATGTGGGAAACTATAAAAGGAGATGGGGAATGAATAAAGTAACTACCAGATATGCCTGGCCAAATTAGAGAGAGAGGAAACACCAAATAAGACAAGGAAAGAAATGCACAGCTAACAACAGGGTGGAGGACGAGCGGTCTGACTCGGAAGGAAGCATCAAGCCCAGAAATGACACAATACTAGAATTTAGTCACGAAAGTGACGCAAATAACCCAGACCACAAATATAGGCGGAGACTGTTAGCAGCCTCGGCTAGCTAGCAGCAGTCTGAAAGTGATCGACCTTTTCATTTTTTTCTCAAAAGGACTAGGACTAGGACGAATAAAGTAAAACAAAACAATAAAAAAAAAGGTAGGCTAAAAAAAATAGTAATAAACAGTAATAGTGATAATATATAAAATAATAGGATTAAAATAGCAGTAGTAAAAAGAAGTGAAGTAAAGATCCCTTTTCCACTCCTTTAGACGTATAGGGTATATAGGGCTAGACCTATATTTTTATAGACCAATCGGCACAAGATGGGTGATTTGGTCAGCATCACGACGGCCACCTTTACTTCCCGGGACTGCTGCCAGTACCCACTCAGGGCTGGGTCGACCTGGGAGTCAAGGTCATTTTATTTAAAAGTCCAGCTCCGCTAGGGAGTGAACCCACGACCTTCCGATCCGCACGCGAGCGTCTAGCCACTACGTCACGGCAACTTCCAGTAGAAGAAATACAAATTTTAATGATCCATAAGTTATACTGAAAAGAGACAGAATAAAATAATTATATGAAATAAAATAAGAGAACAAAGCATACTCAAGATGACAACACAACACAACAGGCAGTTCAGCCTGCACAAATAAAACTATCAGTAACTGCAATTGACAGTCAAGAATACTGTCCTCAAAATAAAGGAAAATCTTCCAATAACAAAAGCTACTTACTGTCCCTGAATGGATCATCACTCTGAAAGGGATCAGAGCTTGAGGCTGGCAAGGCACCACCACCTCTGCTGAACGAGTCTCGACCTTTAAAGGGATCCTCCACAAAGTCAGTTACTGTAGAAGCCACACTGATGCTGCCAACTGTGCTGGATGAACTGTGAAACTGCAGACACCAAAACCATTGCCACATGATTCACATTTTTATTTGTCTACTTCTTAACATTCATCAGCTGAAAACGCCTGCAGACATTTCTGGTTGTTTGTTAACTTCTTGACTTTTCTGTTCCAGAACCTGAGTTTTGCATGCATATAGGTTTTACAGGGCTGGTTTTTTTTAATGCAGACTGTTGGTTCCTCCCCTCCCAGGCAGACACCCTCCGAACCCTCCCCCCACCAACATGCTGGTGTAAGTGGGCACCCCTCCACCCCCCACCCCACCTTTTCCTCCTCCACATATGAATGTTGCAGCTTTGAATTATCATGGCTGATACTGGTCGAGGTATTAAGGATGCCAAGTTCTCATTTGGAAGACCTAGATTAGAATCCTGGATTAAGTGATGGATTTTTCCGGCCCTAAATCCTCAGGCTGAAGACCCTCCTGTACTAAACCACCCTCTAAAGTCATAAATACAGGCAGTAAACACAGATGCTGTCTGCTCAACAGATCTAGGACTGCGGTTTTACTCCTTAGGAATGAAATTTTCTCAACTTACGACCTAAATGACTTACCACTATCCGCATTTACGACCACAGAAAAAACAGATTTAAAAAAAATAATAAAGAAAGAGTCAGAAAGTTCCACAAATTGATGCAAAAAGGTACATATTATGTATTTTTCACATTATGTTTATGCACATACATTGAATTTTGAGTTTTGTTTACAATTTTTACAACCTATTTGTACAAACATAATGCTGAAAATATACATTCAACTGAGGAATGGAATTTGGTTGAAAGTCAAAAAGACCCTGTGTCATCGTTACTTTATTTTCTAGTGTTTCCCTATCAGAGTTGTGTAGTGTAATATATTCAGTATAAACTTTATGACGTTAAAATAGTTTGTGGCCGTAACGTTTTGTTGCAGTTAATGGTATACTGTGTGTGACATTTTCGAAAAATGACTTTCCAATGTCTGATCAAAAGTATTTCAAAGATTTTTCTTCTTCTTCTTCTTTAGTGTTCTCCCTTTGAAAAGCAGTTGGTGAATTGATTGGTGCTTACAGCTACGCTGCAATATCTGATCAACACATCCAATT